CTTCTAGTCGCACCCATCTGGACCCTAAGCCTCTGGGAACATTAAAGATTTAAATGATAATGCATGCACATCATTCAGGTTGGGATGATAAATAGCCCGTCAGCTCCCCTGTGTCTGTTGGGGAGATTGCTCAGAGTCATTTGGAAAGTGATGGGGAAACACTCTCCCAAGAAAAGTAGGCAGTAACTTGACTGTAACTGAATGGAAATTCTGTAAAAAATAGGAAGACTCCTCTCCCTTGATTATATTGCTCATTTATGGTATCACATTCCCAAATGACCCAGAAGAATCACATTCACTTTCAAGGGGTGTCTGTCTGTCACCTGCCTGTGGGCGATTGCCAGCAGAAGATGCCGTGTGCCTGGCTGAGGAGTTGGGCACCAGGTCCGATCTCAAGACTGCACTCCAGGTGTGTCACCTGTGAGCACTTGCTTAATGCTTCCAACCCCTCACATCTTACCTGAAACAGAGGGAAACTGATCTGTTGTAGAGACTTTTAGGCATTTGGAGAGGAGAAACCTTTTATTCAAGTGTAGTAATATACCAGGGCTCAGCACGGAAGTGAAGCCCAGGGAAATGTGTTGTGTTACAGCTTTGGAGTTCTCTCTTCTTGGGTGATGAGGGCTGAAACAGCCCCAGGACACGATGAGTGACCTGCACCACCTGGTACCATCGCCACAGCCTCTCAGAGTGAGCAGAAATAGGCTCACCACCTCGCTCAGACTCGAGGCTGGGTGCAGTGTAATGCCACACCGGCTACCAAAGCAGAATCCTGGTGCCCACTGGAACCTTCTGCTTCCAGCGTAAAGAATGCTGAACGGGATATTGTAATTCTCCAATGGACAAATGTTGTCCAGGGTTCACGTGGAATGTAAATTTCAATTGGTGTTATAAAAGCCTAGGTCACAGACACACGGTTCTGCTAAGATGAGACACACAGGGGGAATCATGCATTTGGACCCAGCCTGGGCAACTTAAGGACTTAGTGAGAATCTGTGTCAATATAATAATAATAATAATAATAATAATAATAATAATAATAATAATTTTTATAAATATGACTGAAGGTTCTGGTTCAGTTCCTAGTACAGAGAAAAACATGATAAAGAAGCTTTACATATGTGTTTATCTTGCAAATGACTTTGATTAGAGCACTGAATTTGAGAAGTATAGAAGGTGTACATGATTTTATTCGGTATGGCGATTTTCCAGAGTTAATATTTGATCAGATGAAACCAATTACAATGATTTTTTTATTGACATTTTTATGACCCTTTAGGTTGGAATCCCTCCAGATTGGGGAAATACAGGCTTTTTGTTTGCTCTCCACACTGACCAATGTAACTCTCACCAAAGCCCGTAATGAGAAACATGTTGTAGTGCATATAGTAGGATGTCTTCATTGTGGTCCAGTTTTCTTCCTCTTCCCTCCTCCCTGCCTCCCTGCCTCCCTTTCTCCTTTCTCCCTTCCTGTTTACATTCATTCCTTCCTTCTTTCCTTCCCTCTCACATTTGCTCCCTCTTTTCCAGCACGTGACACTCCCGATCTCCAGCCACTACACAAAGCTCACCCGTCCCCCCACCCTGTGCAGCTTATGATGGCATGCAGAAGCCACAGAATAAGTCAGCTAAACCTGGGTCTGTGCTAAGTGTTGTTAAAATCAAGACAGCAACAAAATATTGAGCCCCAGAGGATGAGCCTGTCCTCTCCTCGCCGATAGCTGTTTGTTTAAGAGAGGACTGCTATATAATAGCTTTCTGCAGCTGAGTGGAACCCACACTGCCAGTTGTGACCTGGGACACAGCAGCTGTGTGTATCAGGTTAGCACAGCTGCACACGAGTCCTGAAGGCTAGGGACCGGAGCACAGAGAGGCAGAGGTGGATGTGGAGCCGATGTCAACACAGTCACCCACTGTACAGTGACTTTATGCAGAGGGAGGAGGAAGCAGAACTGGGTCCCCATTGTCTAGATGCAGGGAGGAGAATGGAGCATCCCCTGGGGGAAGGCAGGTGAGGGAAGTGGAAGTGAAGGGTGGCGAGGAACAGTTGGATATGGTCCAGGTGAGCTGGATGAGGAGTGAAGAGTCCAGCAGGGAAAATGGGGCTCAGTCCATGGTGTGGCATGTGGTCAGTGGAACCATCATCCTTGGGGCCAGGCTGAAGGAGGTGTGACAAGATGGTGGTGGCCTGCAGAGTGGGACCTTGTGGTGTCTCCAACCCTTGAGCCTCAGCTGCAGGATCAGGGCCAGCATTTGACAGTGATGTCCCAGCTAGGAAGACAGACACTCTGGCTGTTACTATCACATGGGTCATCATAGGAGACAAAACTTTGACTGACCCTATGTGATCAGGAAAGCAGGATGTGGCTTTGGTGATGGCTGAGGGGTGACTCAGAGGGGACTCCAGAAGCAACGTGACACCCATGGTGAGAGAGGCACAGTGGGGACTGAACCCCTGCTGTGTGGCTTTCTCTGAAATATGAAGCTCTGGAGTTCTGTTAGACCCCCAGCTGGAAAATCAGATACAGAATGTGCCCTGTAAGTTTTTGATCAGTGATGACTATTTCAAGTCAGATTATTACAGATCTTTGAAAACTGAGTCCTTTTCAACTGCCTAAGAACTTGAAATGCATGTGATATTGACATTGATTTATGATTAATTCGAATGGATTCCTGAGAGTGATCATTCACCAACAAAAAGTTGATGGATATGCATCAAGGAGTCTTTGTTAAACTGTAGGACAGAGTTTGGTTCTGGAACCCCTTTTCTCTGTGCTCTGCCCAGATGGTAAGAAAATACCTGGAGAGTCTCAAAGGGAGATTCTCCAGGTGGTCTCCACCTTTGTTTTCAGCCCCTGTTCTGTGGGGCTCTCTCATCCTTCTGTCCTCCCTGTCTTCCTCTCTCCCTCTCTTTTTTCTCCCTCCCCAAACCCTCCCTTTTCTCTATCTCACTGTCTTACTCTGACTCTTGTACTTACAGTCTCTTCCCTCTAATGCAGGTAGTATGTTTTTAAGCTTCCCAGCACACAGCAAATGCCTGTGTATTCTTGATCTTTTTCAAAGCAGTGTATTGAACCAGCTAACTTGAAAGAAAACCAAGCCACTGTTTACTAATGCTGTGTGCTACATAGCTACTTCATAGCTGGAAAATGTTCATGGAAGAGGTTTCACATACATGTCAAGTAGACTCAGATTTATGCGTGTATGCACATGTATTTTTCCTTTAAATGTAAATATCCTTAGTCCCTAAGAACTTGCCTAGAGATGGAAAAATGTAAGGTATTTTCTGCCCAAAGGCTTTCAAGCCCTAAGTTTTTTATTTTACTTCGGGCTTTGGAATAGCTTCTTCTCCATATTCAGTGTTTACAAATCTAGAATTCTGCTGTTTTGAAACTCAGGCTCGTAGTGGGTTTCATTCATTCTGTGTGTTCAGGATGACTTCCGGCATGGGTGATGGCTCTTGGATGCAGGATTTCCATTTGCAGGCTGATGGCAGTGGAAGTTACACTGCAGGACACTAGTGAGTGACACGTGGGCTTCAGGCATGTGTACCCCAGACACAGGTGTTTGCCACACTGGTTCTCTCACTGTGAATTGGAAAGGTCCCTGCCCTGTGCCCCTCACGGCCTAAGCAAAGAAACTACATGGTCATGTTTTCTCACCTGTGGGCAGTGCTAGTAGCCAAGGTCATAAATAAGTGCAGGTAAACCCAACGAGCAGAAAGCCTGGGAGCAGGAGAGTGGGATTGGGGCAGAAATGGGTTCTTGAAGCACAGAAAAGAACTGAGAAAGTTGAGATCAAGAGAAACATGCCAAAAAGCAGGACCTAAAGAGAAAGAGGGAGGAGAGGATGAGAACAAAGGAGAGAGGGAGACAGAGGATGATGTCCGTACTTCCCCAGGGGAAGGAGGAAAGCGCATGCCTTCTCATCTTGTGTATTTGCAGTTGTCCGTCACCTTGTGTCCTTCTTGGCCTGTCAGCAAAGTCCCACCTCTGACACTGTTGCAGGAAAACCCTATCAAACGGAATGGCACTGAGCAGTTAGGAGACAACTGTTCATTATGCTCGTGGGACAGCAGGACCAAGTCCAAATCACTAGCCGAGAGCCAGGTTTGAGGCCAGTTTAAATATAGTTTACAAGCAGGAAGTACAAGGCAGCTTATGACTGGTTACATGGATTGAATTAAGTCGTGTATTGTCAGGAAAACTAACTCTGAAGACATTTGCTTAAAAAGAATTGTTTATCATCATAACACAGGAAGATCCGGGGACAAAGGGAGGATTCAAGCAGAGTTAAAAAGTGCCTTTGCCTGCATTACTTCACCCCAACCAAAGTACTTGAAGCCAGTTAGAGGCAATGTATTGTCTTAATTAAGGAAACACAGCTGAGAAGAGTGAAATTGGCCTGCTGCATTATCAGCTGGACCCAGAGAGTCCAGGCTGCCTGAATCCAGCAGGGTGTTTATGTGACACGCAGCAGGAGCAGAGGCAGAGGTTACCATTGGATTTTAACTTTCTATAACATGTGTCTGACTTTGTTATTCTACAACTGGGCCTCTGTGAATCCTGTAATTGTGCCCTTACAACACAAGGGAGCCAAGACTGCCCCTTGGGGATTTCTCTCTCTTGGTCTCCACAGAAAGGCTACTACTTTGAGGTACAGTAACCTTTAATACGCTCTCAGTTCCTGTCCTGCAGCTGGACAATAGAGCAAACTGGAGGCCAATAGTGAGTGAGCAGCTCTCATCCTTGCCTACCTGCGGGCATCCCTGGAAAGCTTTACCACTGCACGTGAGAGCCTGAGTCCCACGTCCAGGGTGGACACCAGAATAGGGCTGCAGGTGACTGAGTGCCTGCATTTTTGAAAGATGCTCCGATGACTCTGCTGATGCTTCAGCAGGGCTGTGTGTGCCGTGTGCTCCGCTGTGTCTGGGGTGCACATGCTTGACGCAGCTGGGAAACTTGTTGACCTTGCTAACCTCCTACCCATCATCTTCACAGATTATGGTACCATTAAGAAAGTACGGGCCCCCCTGAACCAGACATCAGGCAGCTGTTTGCTGGAAGAAATCGAGCTCTTCCCGGAGAGGAGGAGCGAGCCCATCCGGAGCCTGCAGATCCTCCACAGCCAGAGCGTCCTGTTTGTGGGTCTCCAGGAGCACGTAGTCAAGATCCCCCTGAAGCGGTGCCAGTTCTACCACACGCGCAGGTAGGCTGGCGCACAGTGCTGGCGCATTCGACAGGCCACCCTGAGGGAGGGCACAGGAGTGAAGGCTTTGAGCCTCCCTGGGCTGGGTCCAGGACCTTGGGTCTCATGCACCTCCTGCATCCCAGAATGCAGGGTCTGCATACAAACCGATGGACTGCGATGCGACTGACCTGTGCGGTGTTCATATAGGGAAGGTGTCCTAGATATCATTACACCTGCAAGCAGTTATGGGGGTGAAATGGATTATGCATTAGAATACTCAATGATGACATTAATATTAGTGTTATCTTAATAAGTGTTTTGTTTGAATGTAAATGCACACATTCAAACGTACACACACACATACACACACACACTCACTCTGGGCAGAGAATGTTATCGTGTACTCCTAGATCAAGCTGATAACCCCAAGATGCACTGGTGTGGATGCTATCCCCCCCTGGAGAGCTCCCCAAGGTGCTGCCCTGGGCATCTTCTTCCTTGACTTCTGTGAGACTCTAGATCTTGCAGGTAGCTGCAGGAGAACAGGGAAGATGTCCTGTAGGTGCAGGGAACCAATGCGCCATCCCTCCTTCCCCCACCACTAGGCCCGGCTTCTCATCTTCCATGAATGTTGCTCATGACCATGGAGATCTTAGGACTTTAATATGGAAAATGCAGGCCCAGGAACCTAGGAAGTGAAAAAGGGCTGTGCACATCAAAACCCAACCAGTGTTTTAATGCTGCAAATTGCATGTGTACTTTGACCCCTGACAAAATATGCCCATGGGGAAATCATAGTCCCAGAGTTCTTAAGGCCTGTTACCCTCATTCAGTTCCATTCCCGAAAGCCATACAGAATTGTGGATTTGGTGTGGAAATGGCCTTTGCTTTTTCCCATACAGAATTGTGGATTTGGTGTGGGAATGGTCTTTGCTTTTTCATGCAGAAAACCTACTGCATACAGACCATTCTTTTTCTAAACAAGTTGCACAGGGTAGTAGCTTAGAGAAACAGAGTAGCAGAGATTCATGGTAGCAACCTGTCATTGTTTCTTGGCCCTGTTTCCTAAAATACTTCACACCTCACATTCTCTCCTAACACTGTGAATTGGTGTGAAATCAAATGAGATAATATGTATGGTGTAAATTCCAAAGTTTTCTGCAGAGGAATATTCTTATATAGCAGGAAGGCATTATGTAGTCATTGTACTATTCCTTTCAAGACCATTCTAGAAAATAAAATCTAACATACAGTGCCCCTTTGGCATCAGAAGATTACAGAATACCCCCAGGATTCTCCCAGAGGATTACAATGCTTTGGAGAACATTAATAAGATAGTGATGTTTATTGGCAACCGTTTGTCATGTGTGCAACCACTGGCTGTTGGAAATCTGTTCTGCCTTAAGTTCTCTGTGAAACCACCTGAGAGCAGGGATGACTCTTCTGCAGCTGTTGATGGTTCTGTGGGTGACAGGAGGGTTACTGTCCAACCACTGGGCTTATCATACCCTAATAATGGCTTGAAGGCCACCAGTCTTCCAGCTGTGCTCAGCGACCTCCAGACCTAATGGTGAATTTGGGGAGGGGCCTGATGCAGGATAACACACAAGGAGACGTGTGGGTCTGAGCTGTCTGTGGGACCATTCCATTGCCAGAATGGGAATGTGTGTCTTGCGAACCAGGAGGCCCCTCGCTCTTCCTCTGCAGATGCATTTGCTCCACTGAGTCCAGCTTCAACATGCAACTCAGGGCCTAATTTCCATGTGAAGTTACGAAGATGGCGTGGTGTCGCCAGTTTCCCACAACTGCATTTCAAGCCAGTCCTGAATCCACAGAAGCTGGAGCCGCCAGCCACAGTGCTGGGGAGGTGCTCATGGGTCTCCTGTTTCTTTCAAGGAGTACGGTGCCACTTTTCTGTCCCTATCAGACTCTAGGAAGGACAGCTTTCCCTTTCAGCCTATAACTGCATCTCCCTACTGTGGACTTTCACTCACTCAGGGCAAGCGATGCTGACTCCACTGTGAGCCTGCAGACTGCTGCTGTGTGCCCTGCTCGCAGTGGGTGAGCTCGTGTCTGGCCCCGATACTCCGTTTGCGAGTAGCATCCATCTGGGCTTCTTCTCAAGTGTTTCTTCATTATCTTCTTCCTACAAAGAGACAAAAAATCTTGGTTCACACTCACTAGAGAAAAGAAGGTATTTTTAATACACTTACATCTACAGAGTCAAATAATTTTGTTTTACTAGCCAGGGAGGAAAGTGATGGCTTTTTATAAAAAAGCAAAACTAATTTTAATTTTCCAAAACAGTACACTGAATACCAATAGAACAGGAGTTGGATAACTGTTGTATACTAATGTCTTTGAGAAGTACTTTTGATAGTGGGATATTGGGAATTTTTTTCTTGGTATTGCAAAATCCATTTAATAAATAAATTATCGAAGTCTTTAAAAAGAGAAATTGAGCATGACTCAATGATCAGCATCCTCCGCTGCAAATATAACTATTGAAGGATCATTTGGTCTTTCAAAATCTTATTTATAGATTTCATTTGATCAAATGTCTGCTTTTCAAAGACAGTGCACAGTGGTATCTATTGAAACATTTGTAAGCGGATCATGAGCCATATATTTCACAAATTTCTCTTATCTATCTGGCACAGTGCTAGGCTTTATCACCATTTTCCTTAATGATCACAGCCGTGCTCACAGTGAAGGAGGATGTCACTGCATTATTCAGACGACAAGGTGATAACTCAGAGCTTTGGTGTCCTCCACAAGGTCATGGAGCTCCTGCAATACATGGCCTTGGTCAGAACTGTTCTGTCTGACTCCCTGGTTTATGCCGTGTTTCTGGCTTGCTCTTTGCTTCAATGCAATGAGGACATCGGTTGGATTTCACAGGAGGAGGTTTTGGGCTCTTTAGGATAGGAAAAGTCAAAACTCAGATGCCCAAGGTTTTTCCCCGCTAACCTCATTTCTGTGCTTGGGGTCAGGCAGATCAAAGAAACACAAAGCAGCCTTGGTGTCCTGTCTTTCCTCAGGATTCTAAGGTGCATCTCACTAGCACTCATCGTGGGTGGGATCCTGCTCCTGGGTGGGAAGGGACTGAGAAAGGCCCCCTGCCCTGTCCACAGCTGGCGTGCTTTGTGATTTAAAATAAAACATGCTTTCCCCTAGGAAGTTTTATCTTACTAGAACAATATTTTAAAATTTGCATTTCAGTTGAGTTTGACGATAAAGCCAAGTAGAAAATACTTGGTTTAATGTTAGCATTTTGGGACACTTAATAAACAGCCTGAAGGAAAGCCAGCTCCTGGGAATAGACGCTTACTTCTAGGGAGGAGATACAGAAGGAGCTCTGCCAAGCACCCACTTCTTTTTCATGCTAGGATTGACTGACCACACACAGGTCTCATAAGATTTGTTCATGTTTAGTAATTCTCGAGGACCATAAAACCTGGAGGCCAAGCTCTGAATACATTATGAAGAAGCCTGGAACCTAAGACCCCTGAAGTCCCTGGTTCATAGTAGGGGCACCACTATGTGGCAATGGGTCTTTGAGTGAAACAAGGTGACCACAGGGAGGCACAGGGTGGAAAAGCCAGAAGAGTTAATGACTTAATTCTCACTTGCAAAGACAGGCTGTCTGGTCTACCTCTCCGACTTCCCATTTCATCAAAAGCACAGGTCAGCCGCAGCATGTGGGCTTCCGTGGTCATATCTAAAAATCAGGCAGTTATTTCCCTTTGAGGAAAAGTGGCAACCTTCCTAGTATATGAGAATCACTGTGCTTCAAGTGTTGGAAAAGGAACGAGAGGGCTTATGACACAGACTTTGCCATTGCAAGGATGGTGCACTGATTAGGCCAGTGGCCCAGGGAGCTTTCTGTGCAACAGGGAGGAAAATGCTCAAGGCTGGCCAGCTGGAAGTTCTCTACTGCCAGGTCCCAGCTCGGTCCTGGAGGATGACCACAGTGGATGGGCAAAGCTGTGGCTCAGGCAAGGCTGACAGGAAACTGTCATCTGCTTCATATTCAGCTTCTTGAACAGACAGCCTAATAAAAGAAGAGGCTTCAGTTCCCACGTCCCTTGTGCCCTGGCATATGAGCAACCAGGGGACCATGCAACAGGGGACCAGTGCACCCTGTGCTGGGGAGTGGCTGCACACAACCGAGCACTGTGAGAACCTACAGCTTTCTTCCTCAGGGGGCCTGGCTTGGAAGCCAGAAGCTGGGACCTTTTGAGAACCCAGAGATGACAGGAGACTGCCTTACGATGGTCCCTCCAGGAGCACAGGTGGCTGTGTGGGCCATGATCCATTCACAACCTCTGGTTTCTGCCCCTGTCCAGGATCAGGAGGACCATGGGAGACTCTGCTGAAGCTTACTGTGGGTCAGCTGTGATTTAGCGTTGCCTCATGGCCTTAGGTGGCCAGCTGGATGTCACTAATGATTAGTAGCCACTGACACGAACTAAATCATTATCATATACCTATGCATGCATAACTGTCCATTACATATGTGCCAACTTATGAACTACATGTGTTACAAAGCAGAGAATTTAGGTTTTCTCTTTGTCCTGATTTACAAATTTTGCTTACACACTTACACTCTGTACACTTGCTCATCTATTCTTTATTTTTCATTTGACACCACAGTTTCAGAACTAAGATAAGGCTACCAGGTTTAGAGTTAAGGGTTTTGTAGATGAAGGGCTTATCTGAACTAGAGAGGGAATGCAGGAAGACTCATCATTCACAAAGAAAAAGACAGATTCAGGGTGCTGTGTGGCTGGGAAGTCCCAGCTCAGCTGGTGGAACCTGGGGCTGCAGGCTGACCAGCTCTGTGCTCCCTGCTTCCTCTGGGCCTCAGCACGGCAAATCACTGCAGACAGCTCAGCAGATATGTGTGGAATTAGCAACTAGACATTCTGCTTCTGTCCTCTGCTATTTCACTTATAATATGAAAATAGAGCTAAAATTCCTGTTCCAAAGTAAAGCTCTTTCTGCCGAAATGTGTA